TTTTTACATTTATTTTTTTATTTCCCCTTCCCCCTACCCTCTGGTAACCACTACTCCATTGTTCATGTCCATGAGTCTCTGTCTGTTTGTCCTCTTCATTTGTTGCTTTTAGGTTTATATCCCACATATAAGTGATATCATGTGGGGTTTTTTTTATAAAATCGTTTTTAGCAACGCCTTTTCTGCACTCTTCAGAAGATACTCCACAATTTTGGCTTATGGATGGACTGTCTATTTTTCACAGCTCCAAATTCTGATTCACACTTGATTCATACAGCTGTCTTTGATCCATCATGGTCCTATCACATTTTACTAGAAGCAGCAGATAGAATCAACCACTCCCGCTCTTAGCTTAGTAATTCCTGCAGTTAAATACACACTTTCACTGCTCACAGCTCTACCTTCAGCTTCACCCTAAAACCTGGCCACCCACATGCTTTGTGACAAGGTCACCTTTCCTCCAGAACATGTGACCTGTTCACATTTCCATGGACACTTGTCAGAACGGCTCCCAATGTCTACATTCCAACCACCGTTGTCGTCATGACTGTGTTCACCTTCTCTCTGAGTGTAGGAGCTTCCTCCACAGATCTCCCATCCTCAATCTGAGCTCTCCACACAATCACCTGTAACACCCCTCTCAGCAAGCTTGGAATTTTCTAACAGGCACTTAAAAGTCTCCCACCTCCTACCCATCACCTGCTTCCACATCCATGCACACTTTCTTCGATGCTTCTTCCAGCAGCACCCACTTCTCAGAACCACAGTCTGTCTCATGGGCTCAAGCTGCCATTACAAACACCAATGACTGGGTGGCTGAAATGACAGAAATTTATTGTCTCACATTGTGGGAACTGGGAAATCCAAGGTCAGTGTGCAGAGACCTTGATTCCTGGTGAGAAATCTTTCCCTCAGGAAGACAGCTGACTTCTCGCTGCAATCTCACATGCTGGAGAAAATGAGAAATATCACTCTTTCTATTCATCTTCATATACAGCAACCAGTTCTTATGGACAAGGACTTAAACTTAACTTCATTTATCCGTAAACTTCCAAAGAGTTTTTCTCCAGTACAGCAAACTCTGTGTTAGAGCTTCACCTCATGAATGCTAGGGGATACAGTGCAGTCTGCAGCAAGCTCCCAGGGTTAACTGTGAGCAGGTTCACTGACCAGAAGGATGTTCATCACATTCCTGGTTATGTCGGCACAGGCACAGGTTCCTGACAGCAGTGTTTACAAGACGTCCTCACCCAGAGGCTAGTGCTTCTCAAATGTGATCGTGGACCTCATGTCCCAGCATATCCTGGAAGCCAGGACTCCTGTGTCTCCTCCTGCCTGCTCTCAGCTTCACCTGGGACAGAGTGCCTTCATGGTTTGCCTTGTGTTTCATGATTGACAGTTCTTGGTCCTGGAGTGAGGTGACACATGCACCTTTTGAGTCCAGCCAAGGGAACCAATGCCCTTTCAAAATGTGACCTCACCTGAGGTCTAACTTGTCCATGCCTGTTGTGCTCTCCAGATTCCAGCTTCTTGGGAGAGCCTTGACATTGCTACGACATTCAGTGATTTCACGTCCAGTGATGTCTGTGCAGGTGCCACTTAGATATAGTGAGATTAGATCCCTACATCTAGTAACAGGTCAAGGTGACCTCTGAGCATACATCTGGTGTGTGCATCTAATTCACTGAATAGTGGAAGTCGACTGTACATTGAGCCACAAGGTGTGTATCTGCAGGGTTTCTCAGAAGTGTCCTTCATTAGAGAAACCTAAAGAACATCAATGGTCCAGCAAGTCCCTAAGAGTTTCTGGACTCAGGGAACTGCTGCCTGTATCAGTGCATCCATCAGCCCCAGGGAAGAGGCTCCCTGGGGGGTTACATAAACCCCTTGCTTGGGGCCTCCCTATAGAGTAATAGAGGGTGATTGGGGCCAATTCAATATATCAAGAGGTGATGTCAAAAGCATACGGTGTTCATGAAGAAGCATCCTGAGCCAAGGTGCACTAGGTTAAGTAGAGACCTGGCTGTGTCCTCACAGCACCCCACCATCATGCCTTCCTCTACAGAGGACCTGACAGCACCACCCTCACACTGAACTGGAGACACTAGGAGGTCATGCCCTTTGACCCCACAGAGAACCCTCTCCTGTAAGATGAGGGCTGGGTTACAGGGGGCACTCAGAACCACCCCACATGGGTTGTGCACCCTGAGTAGGTGCAGAGGAACTGGAGGAGGGGATTCCTCTGAGGGCCTGGGGCTTCTTCTTTCCACAGATCACCTAAATTTCCAATTAGACAGAGACTGCAGAAGCAAAAATAGACATTCCATTCTGTCAGGACCATTTGCCAATCTCGAGAAGGCAATGAGAACCACACACCAAGGGGAGGTCTGGGGCTTCTAGACATCTGAATTGTGAGGAGCTGGTGGCAGGGTGTGTTTTACTAGGTGTGACATTTAAGAGACACATTGATGCAAGAATACGAGATGTGAGATCAGGGCTCAGCTGCATCCAGTCTCCCCGTGTCACTCAAGGAGCATGCACAGTGAGGAGACGTCCTGTTGGACTCGTTCCTCAGAGGGAAAAGCTCTGTCTGCACAGAGATCAGGCATCTGACAGGGACACATATGCACAACAAGCATTTGTACCTGGGACACCATATGCTCATTGACCACGGTTTCCGTGTCATCGTCTTCTCTCAGGTGGGACCAAGTCTTCAGCTAAGAATACACTGCTTCATGAATATGCAAATGAGCCGAGGTGCACTAGGTTAAATAGGGACCTGTCTGTGTCCTCACAGCACCCACCATCACGCCTTCTGCCACAGAGGCCCTGACAGCACCACCCACAGCATGGACAGGAGCTGGAGAGTCCTCCTCCTGGTGGCAGTGGCCACAGGTAAGGGGATCCCCAGCTCTGGGCTGACGAGGGCACCAGGGCCAGTCAGGGTTCTGCACTCACTGCTGTCTCCTCTCCACAGGTGTCCACGCCCAGGTCCAGCTGGTGCAGTCTGGGGCCGAGGTGAGGAAGCCTGGGGCCTCCGTGAAGATCTCCTGCAAGGCTTCTGGATACACCTTCACTGACTACAATATGCACTGGGTACGACAGGCACCAGGTCAAGGGCTTGAGTGGATGGGAGACGTTAACCCTAATAATGGTGGCACAGACTACGCACAGAAGTTCAAGGGCAGAGTCACCATCACCGCAGACAAGTCCACCAGCACAGCCTACATGGAGCTGAGCAGTCTGAGACCTGAAGACACGGCCACATATTACTGTGCGAGAGACACAGTGTGACGACCCACATCCTGCGAGTGACAGAAACCCTGAGGGAGAGGGCAGCTGTGTGGGGCTCAGGAGGGAGGGGACAGTGTCCGCTGACTTCCTCACACAGAGACAGACACCTGACACTATAAGTGACACTCTCGCGAGCACACCCGGCACTCAGGGCAAGGTGTCACGAGTCCAGGGGTCCTGCAGGAAGATGCAGGGTCAGCATTTCCTGACAAGTCCCTGTCATTTGTCTTTGCTTCTGCAGAGGGCACATATGCACCTCCCTGGTCTCTGGATGAGGGAGTTTGTTCAGGCATCATCTGGGATTATGTGTTGGTGTCAGATTCAGGGTTTGGACTGCAGATCCCCCAGCCACTCCTCCCACTTTCCCATGTTTCTGAAAGGGAATTACGCTTCAATATAGATAAGTATAAAGACTGAAGGGTGAACCCCTACTGCCCAGTCTGAGGTCTAACACCAGTCACATGACCTTCTGGGAAGACGATCCTGACTCTTGCTACCAAAGTCATGGTGACGGGTGAGTCAAGTTCTAGCACATTCCGCCTCAGTTCTGTCCTGCAGGGCTGAGCTCCTGAAGAGGCTCCTCCCCTCCGACCACAGCCCCCAGTGTCCCTGTCCCTGGGGCAGGACTGTTGTCCTCTCACACAGGGAGCAGTACGGGGAGACACTTGATGACATGGGATCCACGTCCAGCCTTCCCTGTCCCTGGTGAATCACAGTACCACACACTCCGGGTACAGTCTACAAACATTGACTTTTAACAGTCTGGAAGTCAGAGCAGGAAGTCAGTGTCCCTGGACAGACATCAAGGTATTGACAGGACCACACATGCCCAGAGTATTGAGGGAGAGGTGTAGTCTGAACACGTGTGCTCCCCAACATTACATATTGAAATCCTAACCCCACAGAGGACCATCTTAGGGGATGAGTTCTCTGGGTGGTGCTCAATGACAAGGTCAGGGGTCTCATGAAGTAGATTAGCACCTAACTAAATGAGGCCCCAGAGACCATGTGTGTCACTTCCTCCACCTGAGGATGTAGCAAGAACAAACCAGATATGACCCAGGAAGAGAGTCCTCCCCAGTGGTGACCATGTTGCACCTTGATCCTGAATTACCACCTCCTGAAATTTGGAAAGTGAATGGTTGTTAACAATAAATTACTCAGAAGATTTTACTCTCTTACTGTAGCCTGAACAAACTCAGACAGCAGTTGGCTTCTGTGTCTTTATTGGTTGACGAGCCACTCTCCTTACATCCTGACTCATGCCCCGTTCCCCATCCCCACAGTCTGGAGGAAGACACCTCACATCACTGGTCACATTGTTTTCTTTCTCCCCTAGAGTCTAATCTCCTCTGCCTCGCTCTGGTATGAACACTTGTGACTGCGTTAGGAATCTCTCAGATAAAACAGGAAACCATTTACCTCGAGCTGTCTAGTGGTCCTGGAACGTGCCTTTTCCCATGTAACATCAGACTCCAAGCATGATGTGACACTAACAGCCCTGCAGATATTCACATCCATCCCACAAATCGGTTCCATTTAGCACATCCCAACATCCCCCAATGCTAACTTGCTCGAAGATTAACACGAGCCTAATATCAAAGAGGATCACCTCAAAACCTCCAAATATAACCTCTAAATCAGGTATCAGTGAGAATTTGATGAATGAATTCTGCAGTGAAATCCTCTCCAGCTGCAGACCTGTGGTCCTAGAAGACAAGTTACCTCATTCTAAAATACAGTGCAGGGCAGGCACATGGTCACAGTCCAGACACCTTTCTCTCTAAGAGAGAAAATGGAAGTTAGAAATCACCAGCTGAAGATGATTCTATGCCCATCTGAGAGAACTCCATTGGGTCTCAAGATCTGGGGATGAGCTGCTGTGGCTCAGACCCAACCTCTGGTCTATGGCTCTGTCCTCAGATCTACCTTCCTGGGTCCTGTGGAGTCACCTGATGGAAGAGGCGCATGTTCGTCACCTGTGTCTTGCCAGGAGATGATTGAGACTCCAAAGACTCCATTCACTTATTCTGTCTCTATGACTGATAAACGTTCTTTCAATAACTGCTAAATTTGAAAGGAAGGCTTATTAAGACACTTGCAAAATGGGTCCTGCCATAGGAGAGAGACACAAGGGTACCTCTGAGAGCAGCAAAAGCAGCTGCGGACTCGTAGCCAAGGGGCAGAGGGCAGGCTCAGTTGACAGAAGTAACTAAGAGGGGACATGCGTTGCACAGGAGGGTCCATATGCATATACCGGGAGGGACGCACCACTGAATGCTGGGTAAGGGGAGGAGCCAGGCAACTCTGTTTCTCAGTGGGAGTTTTAAAGAAAAAGTCTTCTGAGGACACCAGGGTGCTCAGGGCTTCCAGTGCACAAGGCCTCCAGGGGTCGGGGCCTCCAGGGGCTCTACGCCTGCAGAGGTTTAGAGTCTCTGAGGAGTCAGGGCTTCCAGGGGTTCAGGGCCTCCAGGGAGGTCAGCGTCTGCAGGGGGCACACAAACCCCATGGACTCGTGTCTCAGCCCCAGCAGCGCATGCAGATGGAGGCTCGGGACTGGTTTCCTATTGTGATCTAAGGCTTCCTCTTCATGCAACAGTGTCACAGGGACCTTTGCACATTTATCATTCTCAGCTCACCCCTGATGTTTCTGATACAAAAGGTGGTATTTTTTATGACAATGTGGATCACATTCATCAACTTACCGAACGTAGAGGTCACTTTCAGAGGCAGAAATCACTCTGCTAGTTTTCTCCAAATCAGAGTCCTGAGACAACTCAAAACTCACAGCGAGTGTTGATAGCCTCTGAGTTGGATGCAACAACTTTGTTCCATGCACACCTCAGCCAAGATGCATTTGTCAAGAGAGAGCTGCTACTGTTAACAGAGTATGAGGATTCAGCTGAAAAGATAAGCACTAAACACGATCCTAATAGAAGAGCTGGGTAGAAGAACAATAAAGAAACATGGTGGAGTGAGCCGTCCCCAAATCTCTCCCCTCGAAACAAGCTGAACATCTAAAACTGAACAACAACAAAAAAGAAACACCCAAAGTGCACAGCAGCACATCTGAGTGTGAGATCTTTGCATAAGAGCTACCACAGGACAGAACCCTGAGGGTCGAGCAGTGGTCTGGGAGAAAGAAAGAAGCTGCCTCTTGCACTGGAGCTCCCTGCAGGAGGAGAGGGCGGGGAAAAGGTGCGGCAAGTTCTCTGCAAAGCCCTGACTGGGAGAGCTGAGAGCTCCACGCAGCCAGCATCAGTGCCCAGTCACCGGGGAAGAAAGCAGAGAAGTGGGGACAGCAGAGAAGAGAAGGCGGCAGAGAAACAACAGCTGATTTTTACCAGCTGTGGTTGCAAAATGGAGCCAGAGCAGCAGCCTCCAATCCCCAACCCAGACGTCCCCTGCCCCCATACCCTCTGAGACCAATCACCGCAGAGCCCCAGGGGAATCCGAGTAAATGCTACTGAAACTGTCGCTAACACTGACAAGGACTGAGACTGAGAGTAGTGAGTATGATTAAACATCTATAAGGAAAAAAAAAACACCATTAAGGCTTTATATGAAGTAGACATCCAAGAGATTAGACGCCACCTACTGGAAACCA